CCAGAGCCGTCCAGCCAGGATCCGCCAGAGCCGTCCAGCCAGGATCCGCCAGAGCCGTCCCGCCAGGATCCGCCAGAGCCGTCCCGCCAGGATCCGCCAGAGCCGTCCCGCCAGGATCCGCCAGAGCCGTCCCGCCAGGATCCGCCAGAGCCAGCCAGCCAGGATCCGCCATCTAGTCAGGTGATACCCCTTAGCCCGGTGCTGCCCTTTAGCCCGGTGCTGCCCCTTAGTCCGGTGCTGCCCCTGAGTCCGGTGCCGCCCCTTAGCCCGGTGCTGCCCCGTAGTCCGGTACTGCCCCTTAGTCCGGTGCTGCCCCTTAGTCCGGTGCTGCCCTTTAGCCCGGTGCTGCCCCTTAGTCCGGTGCTGCCCCCGAGTCCGGTGCCGCCCCTTAGCCCGGTGCTGCCCCGTAGTCCGGTACTGCCCCTTAGCCCGGTGCTGCCCCTTAGTTCTGTACTGCCCTTTAGTCCGGTACTGCCCCGTAGTCCGGTGCTGCCCCTTGTCCCGGTGCTGCCCCTTATCCCGGTGCTGCCCCTTATCCCGGTGCTGCCCCTTAGGCCGATGCTGCCCCTTATTCCGGGGTTGCCCCTTAGTCCAGGTGGGGTTAGGTGGAGGGTGGTCATTGGGAGGAGGCTACCAAAGCAGGTTGTGACTGTGGTGGGGTGGGGATCACGACCGGGGCCAGAGCCGCCACCATGGACAGACGCCCACCCAGACCCTCCCCTAGTCCTGATGTTGGTGCGCCCGGAGTTCGCACCTTTAGGGGGGGGTACTGTAACACTCTGGCTCTATGGACGTTTATATTGAGCCAGGGTTGTTCATTTTCTTGTGTTTGGGTGTATTTCATTTGGTGGTGTGTGGTATGGGTGAGTTTCATTTTGTTTGTGTCATGTGGTGATTGGTCGATGACTCCCAATCGGAGGTAACGAGTGTCAGCTGTCGGCTCGTTATCTCTGATTGGGAGCCATATATATTCTGTGTGTTTTCACCTTTGTTTTGTGGGTTATTGTTTCTGTGTTGTTGTTAGTGTGTTTCAGTATAGAACTTCACGTATCGTCTTTTGTTGTTTTTCGTGGTTTCTTTGTATTAATAAAGTCATCATGTTCACTCGCAACGCTGCGCATTGGTCCGCTCCTTCAGACGATCGTGACAGGATAGGCAGAGGCATAGTTGACAGGCTGTAGCAAATGGCTACAATAATGCAGAGGAGATCGGAATGAAATGAACTAAACATCTGGGAGAGTAGAGAGCAGGGCCTCCCTCACCAAAAACTTCTACCTCAGAAACTATAATTGTTTCACTGAACCACCCGAACAAAAACTCTACCAACTTCCACCTTTAGAAATCAGAATTGTTGTGAACCACAGCGGTTCAATGTTTAAAGAAATAGACTCAACCCACTTTATTCAGCTAGCTAACTATGACACCATAGCTAACTAGCATGCTAGCATCCAAAAACACACAGTTTAGCACCAACACTTGGTCACAACAAACCACCAATAGTGTGTTAACACACTAAGCAGATAATTAGTGTCCGTGTCTGTTGGCTAGCTAGCAATGGCCACTGTGTTGACCTTGTTTGAAGAACGGCTAGCTAGCTAGCTTCGTGCTACCCCCGGCACCGCCGAAAAACAATGCCAACCCACAGTAACTACCCACAACAGCCCACGATGCCTAGCTATGACACCATAGCTAACTAGCATGCTAGCATCCAATAACACACAGTTTAGCACCAATACTTGGTTACAACAAACTACCAAGAGTGTGTTAACACACTAAACAGATAATTCATGTCCGTGTCTAGTTCCTTTCGTAACGCAGCAAAAATTAAACGTTGGCTAGCTAGCACATTAACATTGGAAACAACTCTCCACCGTTGCACTAAACAGATAATTACCAATAAACGTTACCAGTAGCTACCCGCTAGCTAGCTAGCATACCAAGAGTGTGTTAACACACTAAACAGATAATTCATGTCCGTGTCTAGTTCCTTTCATAACGCAGCAAAAAAAATAAACGTTGGCTAGCTAACACATTAGCTAGCACATTAACATTGGAAACCACTCTCCACCATTGCACTAAACAGATAATTACCAATAAACGTTACCAGTAGCTACCCGCTAGCTAGCTAGCCTCGTGCTTCGCCGGGCTCCGCCGTAACAATACTTAAACAATACGTAAACAATACTTACCTACAATAATTGCCTACGGAAACCTACAATAACTACCTAAATAACTACCTAAATAAACTACCTACCTACGATCTAAATACATGGTTTAAGCTTTACTCAACACCATATGAGAAGCCAAGCTTACCTCCTGCTAGAGAAAACACAACCTCTCCCGACGAAGTCAGCACATCCCTGCACGAGTTGATGACTGTACTAGATTTACACTACTTGTCCTATATATTTTTGTAGTCTTAAAGTATTACTTGGAATCAACTGAAAGCCAAAACGCTCCTTGTCCTGGAATGACATGCTAGCTAGTGATAACGCCATCTGCTCCTGCTAGCTACTAGCAACATATCTACTTGTTGTAACTAGCTGGCTAAGAAAGCTAGCTAAATTACTAAGGTTGCTGTGTTCTATGTCAGGAGTCATTTTACAGCTTGCATTGATGGTATCACGTTTCTATAACTAAATAGTTTGATAAAAAATAAAGCCTTTACCTGAGCAGTTTGTCGGATGGAGATCTCTCTCAAGATGTCACCAGCTGTGTCTGCTACCTTTGTTGTCACCCACTCTACCTCTTTCTCCTTATCTTACTCCTCTGTGAGTGCACGACACGTGGAGTGCATGACACGTGTCTTTACAATTCCCATCAAGTGGCATAGAATTGTGCAGGCACAAGATTCTGAAAATACCCTTTGTATCTTTCATTAACATTAAGCACACATGGAGCATGGACTCAGCCATTGCCCTAATCACAGCCTCCGTCAGAGAATGGAGAGAGGGAAATTAAGTTGAGAGCAGTAATGTGAGGATACGTGTGAATTAGCTCGTATTGAATCAACTGTCCCAAAACCGCTTTTCTGTGAATCAATCAGAGGCTGCAGTACAGAGCCGACCAAGGCCCGTGTTTCTTCTACCATAATGCCCAGCTATAATAATGGTGAAATTTCCCAGGGCTATAAACCATTAGTGGTTATACAGTACGTGTCGGTTTCATCAGATCAAAAGACAAAAAGCAAATACATTTAATTGGATCAGGAGAAAAATCCAGAAAGTTTACTGCGTCGATGTCTGGTAGCATAGCTGGTATGAATTTCTACCTAATTTTGCTTTGAGGGAGTCAGTGTTCTTTTTATAAAAAAAAGTAGTTATACGGCCTGGCGTTCAATTGAGACAAGCTTTCCATAAAATAGTTTAATACTATGCAAATCGTAACACAACCGCTGTTTTCAGCAACAACAGTCCTGTGCATCATGCACAACATTGGCTGCATATACACAGGCAGTCCAATTCAGATTTTAATCATATTATTTAGTTGGTCTGAACAAATACTTTTCTATAAGGAGAGCACTTTGATTATATGATTTAGTTCAATTAGGTTTGTATGAATGTTTTCTAAAAGAAGTGGTCGTCCTATACATTTATAAAAAGAGATGCCACTCAGGTCTTATTATGCAAAAAAATTAATGTGTAAAGTCAACGCAGCCTACCGGCTCTGAGAGAGACAGAGAGAGAGAGAGAGAGAGAGAGAGAGAGAGAGAGAGAGGGGAGAGAGAGAGAGACGATTGAGAGAGAGAGAGACGATTGAGAGAGAGAGAGAGACTATTGAGAGAGAGAGGAACGATTGAGAGAGAGACGATTGAGAGAGAGACGATTGAGAGAGAGAGAGAGAGACTATTGAGAGAGAGAGGAACGATTGAGAGAGAGAGGAACGATTGAGAGAGAGACGATTGAGAGAGAGACTATTGAGAGAGAGAGAGGAACGATTGCGAGAGAGAGAGAGAAAGAGAGACGATTGAGAGAACAAGAGAGGAGATGGATGAGCAACACATTACCTGAGTGCACTTTTTACTTTCTTTTTTGGAGACAAAAAGAATTACCTTAATTTACCCTGAGCTGTGGAGAAAGAAAGGGAATTTCACCCACAATTAGTTTTTCATGTTCAGTGGGCTCAGTATGGTAGGCTATAACTTAATTGATTGTAATCTCATTTGTGTCGGCCTACTTACAATGAATATTTAGTTACTCTGCATTAAAGTATATCAAACACACGTGAAATAGGTTCTCTTCAATGGGACTCCCTGTTAAAATAATGTCTATACTTCTATAATGTCCATACTGTAGCGCCCTCGTGCGGTCCAAACAGACAGTATGTGCCCGAAATACGAGACTCACTGCGCTGCGCGAGCTCAGCTGACGGATTTCAGAGCAGGGAAAAAGAAACTGGGCGAAGGACGGTCTATGTTAATTTCTTATTGGCAGTGAAACATGTTGTTGACATGAAACATGCAAATGAATTACAAATGTTGCGTAATGTTTATATTATTATTATTTGCACACACAGTGATCAACATTACCATAATCACCAAATTAATAACACTATGTTATTGAGTATTTGTGCTGTTTCAGGTGTATTACTTGAATGCAAATCCTTGTAATGCATGGTGGATGTAAACATGGTTATGAGTTACACAGTCACCAAAAGAGGTGGTTGCCTACACTTTTTGCATTCCTTATTTATAAATCAAAAAATTGAAACACTGCACTATGTATGATGTATTATTTTAAAATCTGCAGAAGTTGAACTCCTTTCTGCGAAATTGGTGTTAAGTGAAAGAGGAAACTGTTGCATTTTACGCATACTTTACACATGATTTTTAAACCCATTTATTTCTCAAAATTGTTTATATATTTTACTCTGTCCGCTCAGACAGAGGGTCTATGCATTCTCACCTCAGACCGATGCATAATTGCATGACGCACTGGGGAGGAGTGTGGTCGGCATCGCTTATATATAACCAGTCGCGCCCTCTTCAAACACAGCAGTAGCAGCGCTTACGAAGAGTCAGGATCCCTCAAAGCAAGTAGAGCTTGCATTCAGCATCTCGCTCTCGCACCAAATACATTTGTCCGTGCGCAAAGCTCGCAATCATGATTAAAAAAAATTCGCCTTCCGAGAACGAGTTTAACATCCCGGCAAAAAACTGCCACAGGATGGTGATTCTAGGATCCACAAAAGTTGGCAAGACGGCCATCATCTCTCGGTTTCTGAATAAAAAAGTCGAGGACCAGTATACGCCGACCATCGAGGACTTTCATAGAAAATTATACAGCATTCGGGGAGATGCGTACCAGTTGGACATTCTGGACACCTCTGGAAACTATCCCTTCCCCGCTATGAGGAGACTCTCTATCCTTACTGGTAAGCTTAACTCTGAACGAATGAAACTGACAAATGTCTTTATGCAAAAGTGATTCATAATATTAAGCTGCATTCTGCAAATCACTTTCTAGAAGAAGAATTTCAATTTAGCTTCTCTAAAATGCATGCATGATGCGTAATGCAAAACGTGTGCTGTGCATTATGGAAAGTACATTGACTTTTGAGCTGTGATAATAATGTGCATTCCATTTCTCTCTCCTCAGGTGATTTTTTTATCTTGGTGTTCAGTCTGGATAACAGAGACTCCTTCCAAGAGGTGCAGCGCCTGAAGCATCAAATTTATGAGACCAAGTCCTGCCTGAAAAACAAAACCAAAGAAAACGTGGATGTCCCGATCGTTATCTGCGGGAACAAGTGTGACCGGGAGTTTAACCGGGAGGTTCAGAATGAGGAGATTGAGCAGCTGGTGGTTGGTGACGAACAGTGCGCCTACTATGAGATCTCTGCTAAACGCAACACTAATGTCGACCAGATGTTTCAGACTCTTTTTACCATGGCTAAACTGCCCAACGAGATGAGCCCGGACTCTCACCGAAAAGTGTCCTTACAGTTTTGCCAAGTACTGCAAAACAGCAGAAGAAAGTCATTCAGAAATAAGAAATTCAAAGACAGCGAGGTATATGGGATTGTGGCACCGTTTGCGCGCCGACCAAGCGTGCACAGTGACCTGATGTATATCAAAGAGAAAGCTACTGGCTGCAGCCAGGGAAAAGAGAAAGACAGATGCACCATCTGCTAAGAACTCACTTGACAATGCACATGGAGACATGTTACGAGATGTTCAATACAGCGATGAAGACGATACCCGCCATGCTTCTTGCCAGTTTGCAGAGTCCGGGATAAGGCAGCACGCCAAAACGCAGTGACAGCCAGGGGTGTATGTCCCAAACCATGCGAGAAGGCATTCCATGGTCAGTCAGTCAGATATTTCCCTGTGGAGTCAGGGTGATCAAATGTGATATGGCTTATGATAGCCTCTAGTGTTCTTGTTACTATAGCTACATGCTGTAAAATCTGCCATTACTGAATGGAGAATGTAGCCTACACTTATGGGGTGGCATTTGTTTACATTTTGCTTATTTTTTTCCCTTTTTTTTACACGGAACTGAACTTGAATGTTAATTGCATAATTAACACATATGAATGTATATTCTTCTGTCAGTTTACTTTTCACAAAAAAGAAACTTGGATAAATTAAATTATACATCTGAAATGTATATTCCCATGTCTGTCATCCTTCTTAACATTGGTAAATAAGCATATTCCCAGGCCCTTTCAGTGACACTCATACCATTAGCTAGAAGAAAGTAGCCTGTACCAAATGTATGAAATACATAATTTCTAACAACGATTTTGATGTTTCCATTTAGGCCAACTCAAGCTATTAAATGTCATTCATGAAAATTAACAGTGCGAGTAAGGTGGCCCATGCTACAATCTTACTGAGAAGCTGAGTAAAGACAAGTCACAAGGAATTAAAACAACAAAATGTTTATAATAATAATAATAATAATAAGCCATTTAGCAGACGCTTTTATCCAAAGCGACTTACAGTCATGCGTGCATACATTTTTGTGTATGGGTTTATTTTAGGCCTACTGCATTGAAAATCTGCTGCACTCAGATAGCACACCGACAATATCATTACCTAAAATAATAAGCCACTGCATGTACAAACTTGATGGCATTATAATTCAGTATCGATACTTAATTTTTTACAAAGTAAAAAGGGGACAGTTTACAATACAAAAAGATCGTGCCTGAAGGTAGTGTTATAGTGAAATAAAATAATTTCTGGAGTTGTTTTGACAACAAAGAGGGGATGAGTTCTCAAGTTATACTGCACGAGTTTTTAGGTTGGAAAGGCAAATGAGACAACAGGAAGCCAAGAGATGGAATACAAAAAAAGAATCCATACGAACAAGTTTATTTCCCACGATTTCAAATGATGGTAATCGTTCGTTTGTTAAAGTATTTCTCAGTCCTCTAAATACAAAAATATATACTTTTCAGTACATGAGTGTCCCTCTTCAAGTGTCTCCTGAATTCAGTTAGTTTCTTTAGAACTGTCAAACATCTCTCACGACGCTTTTGGGACCTCAAACATACACAAACTCTTGTATTTCTGCAGTAACTGATTCTTGGTACTGACTTGCTCCCGCAGCGTCTCTAATTGATGCTGCTGCTCCGACGGGCTCATGTCAATTCCGGGCATGGCTCCGATCTGCTCGCGCGCTTCCTGGATCCTTGTCTTCAACTTGGCCAGTTCTTGATGGACATCTTGACTATCTTTGTCCATACTTGGGGACAGAGAAGTACACGTTGTTTAAATCATATACTTTTTTTTACAAAGTACTTAAACATAATTTAACCAAATTGTTGCTGCTTATCAACATTAGACTATTGAACTGCAACTAGCAAGCTGGCTAACGTTAACTTCACAACAAGTCCTACCAAACCAGCACAAATATATGCATCAATTCTCCCAGGTAATAAACACACTATTCAAATACATGCAAAATTAAAGTCTTACCATTTTATAATGTCGTGAACCAAAGGGAGAAGAGAGCAATCATTGTTCTCGCCTTCTTGCTTTGGTTGACTCGTCGCCATCACGGTCGATACCATTTGACTGGCGCCTATAATTTACGTCATCAACCAGTGGCACCCATATACTTAGATAGACATCGCATCATTGTATCTGTCCCATTATGGCGTCTGCCAGAGTACGGAAAAGAGTATGGGTATACAGACAAGATATATGTCTCTCTCTGCCCTAACAATGGGAGTCGTTTTCCACAAAGAGGCACGGCGGACTGTTTAGTTCCCAACTATCCTTTCTTTGGATTGGTGGATACATTTCATTATTGTAATCGTTTTTTGAATATTCGATGAGAATTGTTGACATCAACCGCCTGTATTCAATAGAGAGAGATGCTACCAGCCTCATGTCATGAATATGCATAGCCATCTCGAAGACAACTCCGATATTAAGTGTTTTTTCTCAACGTTGCCGGGATGTCATGTGTACTACTTATATCAGTACAATCGTAACAACTTGAGCATTACAAAACTTATATTAGATCAAATAAACTTCACGTAGGGAATAAGCCATTCATTTTCAAAAAAAATTGACATGCTCTCATACTATCATGGTCCAAACACACCAAGACAGTCGTGAAAAGGGCATGACAAAGCCTATTTTCCCTCAGGAGACTGAAAAGATTTGGCATGGGTCCTCAGATCCTCAAAAAGTTATACAGCTGCACCATCGAGAGCATCCTGACTGGTTGCATCACTGCCTGGTATGGCAACTGCTCGGCCTCCGACCGCAAGGCACTACAGAGGGTAGTGCGTACGGCCCAGGACATCACTGGGGCCAAGCTTCCTGCCATCCAGGACCTCTATACCAGGCATGGTGAGAGGAAGGCCCTAAAAATTGTCAAAGACTCCAGCCACCCTAGTCATAGACTGCTCTCTCTGCTACCGCACGGCAAGTGGTACCGGAGAGCCAAGTCTAGGTCCAAAAGGCTTCTTAACAGCTTCTACCCCCAAGCCATAAGACTCCTAAACAGCTAATCAAATGGCTACCCGGACTATTTGCATTGTAAGCAAGCTAGCTAAGCAAATAACTTTAGATGAGAAGAATGATCTATTTTTAATAACTTGAAAAGACATTTAATAATCTAAAGTCCTAATTTGTATTATTATTGGTGGTTTGTTGTTAACGTTTACTTGGCATAATAACCAGAGGTGGAATAATATGTGTTACTTGATGACTGTAACTGTTTCTTGTAAAATTTTTAAAGTTTTCATTTTTAAATAGTAAGGGCAACTGAGAAATTGTTTCACTCGAGCAACAGAAAACGATTGCTTTGTTGCAACATCTTCACATAATGTTCAAAATGTTAATCTGGAAACACCATAGTCAGGTTCTCCTTTATACTACTAATAATACATATTAAAAAAGAATGCATGGACTGATGCTGACAGAACAGCCTTTTTACGGATTTGGTTTTGTGATAGGTAACCTGACAGGGATAGTCAGCTACACCTAGGTCATGTATCTCAGTTGGTAATGTTGGCATCACTAAGGTTGTGGGTTCAACTCCTGCAAGAACTACATGAAATGAAAATGTAGGCTATGTACTCACTATCCTGTAAGTCACTTTGGGAAAATGTTACTAAGTGGCATACATTATATGCATCTTTGTTATGGCGGCAGGTAGCCTAGCGGTTTAGAGTGTTGGGCCAGTAACCGAAAGGTCGCTGGTTTGAATCCCCAAACCCACTACGTGAAAAATCTGTTGATGTGCCCTTGAGCCAGCCAGGCACAACCCTAATTGCTCTTGTAAGTAGCTCTGGATAAGAGTGTCTTCTAAATGTCTATGTAAAATGTATTACTGGTACTGAGCTAGCATAGCTTAACCGTTAAGAAGTTAGTTTCCACTATGAACCTGGACTACAACGGACCAATAAGACTGATCCTCTGCACAACCTCCAAGCCTTTCCAAACACTGGGTGACATAACACACAATCCCTGCCCGGTCTCTGACCGAGCAAACACAAGACTGTTTAATTAAATGTGCAGGATGAGTTAGCATCTGGCTATATCTATATAGGCTAATGCAATGCAGTGCAGCCAGGCGTTATCGTTTACAGTTTGTGTTGGTGTCAATGCTATATCCAGTTCAATGCTATATCCAGGTGTGCACATAGGCCTAGTAAAACCAAAGGTCGCTGATTGTGGTGGTTGCGCCACTATAAGTCTTCCCCCCTGGAGGGTTCTGGTCCAGCATGGATGAGAGGAGGAGGGAGGGGTGGGTAGAAGGGAATGCGTGGTGGAAGAGTGGGTCATGCGCTCGCTTGCCCATTGTAGTTTCCTGCTTAGGCCTATAGATGGGTTAGCTGACAAAGTCAAGAAACCGATGAGTGCGATTCAATGGGGCAGAATTCCGGGTGTTGTTGTGATTCTGGATGGCCAGATAGTAGCAACTATAGGTAGTAAGCAGTAGTCAGGTGATCATTACCAGGTTATGATGAGGTCTTAACTATGACCAGTAGGCTACATAATATATCACATAATATAGTGTTCAGAATTATGACCAACTGGTCGTATGGCGGTCAGAAAAATACGTCATATTCTGGTCAGTAAAAAGACGTTAAAAAACGTCATTTTTCAACCAGTTTGCAACCAGAATAAGACGTCATAAAATATGTCATACTGACATCTTTTTAACCAGGTTTTGCCCACAGGGATGACAAGAAGCTGCCATGTGGGGAATCGTAGGTGGCTCATTTCAGCTAGTTTTATCTTTTTCTTTATACCATGTCTTGTTTTGAGGTGTTTTGACTGTTTATGCTAATATGGCTAGCTAACCAACAACTGTAACAATGTATTTGAGACAACAAGTGCTCATTGTGTAAATGTATTTATGTTTTCAATAAACATTGGAGATGAAATACAGTTTACATGTCAACAATCTAAGCCAACCCCGTCTGTTTTGCCCCATAGTTACACATGCGTCGTTTTTTTTGCTAAACAACCAACCAGTCTATAGCTGCAGAATGGTTTCCTGCTCAGGCTTATAGCTGCAGAATCGTATACATAAGTAAGCATTTCACTGTAATGTCTGCACCTGTTGTATTCGGCGCATGTGACCAATAAAATTTGATTTGATTTGATTTGATACAGTATCATCCTGCACTCTAAGCTCTCCACTCTCTCCCCTCTCAGCAGTAGCAGCAGGTGGCAGCGAGTCCAGATCCTTGAGAGTCTTTCTTTACATTGTGATTCACTCTGGCCAGAGTCGTCTTATCTGTTTGAATAAGATACGAAAAAGGACCCAGTGGTGATAGAAATATTAGATCGGCTGCTATTACAGCAACACTGATTGCTATTTGCAACACTGCCAATAGTAGGTGAGAAATGTCACCTGTCCTCGAGCCGATCGAATGACCTACATATAGTTTAAACAGGTCACTCTGAGTCTCTGACAAGTGCCTCCTATCTTTGGCCCCATTTCCAGCTCTGACAATTAAATCATGTGACAACTATTATGTTTGA